AATCCTTGCTGTTAGATTCATCATTACCAGTGAGATATTTTTCATAAGCTCTTTTGGATTTCCTTTTGAACCAAATCTCTAGCTTTTCTGTAGTTCTGCTCATCTCCCATGCTATCTGTCAATTTAACTGTTTATAATTTATGGCATTTATTCCATTTTTTATCCTTTACAGTATGTCTTTAGTAAAGCTAATTAGGTTTTCTTCTTCCTGTTATTCTTTTACTCTTTTTTGTGAATGTAGTTGAAAAAATTTAATTTGTTCTAGGTCACCATAACCAGTTCTCTAATGACAAATCTTGTCTCATGGCTTCAAAATTGACTTTTTAAAAATTAGGTACTAATATGTTATCACTACTTATCACAACTTGCAGCAAATACATCAAACCTAATTATGCAATAATCACTCTTTCCCAAAACCTTCTTCCACTTCAACTCTTATAGCCATATCCTCATTGGTGGTTAACAATAAATCATAAATGCCCCCCCCCCACCCCCCAACTTTGGATGGTTCTCTGATCATTTGGTATAGAAAACCATACCCTGAATCATTTTGAGAACCTCTTTCTATCTCACTCTTTGACTCCAGAAAATTCCAATCAACATATCTAAAATGAAAGTCTGCCATGATTATTACAGCAGTATTGTTAGTAGTAATAACCCTGGTATCACTATACAATTTCTCATTAACATATTTTGTCTGACCAGCTGGCTCATAACAATTATTGATTAAAAACTTCCTATCTATGAAACCCTAATTGTAACTCTCCTAGATTTAATCACTTGACTATCATTTTTGTCTTTAGTTCATCCTTTGTATAAAAACCACTTCACTCCCTCATTTAACAAGTTTATCTGTAAAGTTTGAATTTAATGGCCTGCTCCTGCGGTGTTCTAAGGTTACGACAATGTGACAGCCAGAAGAAGTCTATTAAAGCCAAATCTCTAGTATGTCTACACTGCCTAAAATACCCTTGAAACAAAGTCTGTGAGTATTCAGTAAGTCACAATCTGAAATTTCAAAATAATTCCTAATGTAATTGTTTTCTAAATATAACAAATTCCAATTATATAATAGTCTTCCATTTTAAATTGAAATCTGTACTCATTCATTTTGTTTCTAATAATAATACTAACAACTAAGTTATTGCAACTAAGCTTATTCTTAAATCTACTATCTTTAAAACTATTACTTGTTATGCTCTAAATTTCTAAGTTGCTCTAGGTATCCTTTCAAGTAGTTTACTGTCAATTTTCAAGCTTCCTCACTATTGAGAAAATTTTAAACTATCATTATTTAATATCTTTAGAGTTTCTCAAACATTCTACTACCTACCTTACATGAGTGTGTGATGATTAGATAGGGGTTACCTGCTTGGGGTTGTAGACCTGATAGTCCATTTAAAAGAATACCAGTCTTGGAGCACTTGGGCAAGCTGGTGGTCTCGAGTTTAAGCTCAAACAATTATATACTATGTAATTAAGTTTAAAATTGTTACAAGTGGAGCTTTATCTCTAGCACATAATTCATCCTTTACCCAAAAACTATATCATAAGAACAACCAGGCCATTTGTTGCTTTAAGCATATCTCTGATAAATTTATATTTAAACTTTGGATCCTGCTGAAATACTCATTCTTGTATCCAGCCTGAGAAAGCATTTCCAAAAGGGTGTAATGCCTGTTTTCATTCCTAAACCTCTGAAGAAGTTCTTTATATTTTTTAAAAAAGCTCTTCTGATTTGCAATAACCAATATCATTTGCTTCTATGTGCACTACAAAAACAGAATGGCCCTTGTTACCAGAAACTAAACTGTCAACATTCTATAATTTTATTCACTTTAGTACCTGGCAAGTAAATTCTAGTCCTTGTCTTTCTATGCACTCCACTACAAATAAAATTTTTTAGTATATTTAATGAGAGAGTCATTAATATGTACATACACCTCTTGATCATCTCCTTCCTCATTGTAAGCAATTTTGTTAGAGACTTCTACTAGAGAGGTAACTGATTCAGTCTCTATAGCCTTAATGTTGTTATTACTGTGCACCAGTGGTGGCCATACTTAGTTGTGGGCCCTTGTGCTGGATAAATTTTGGAAACTTTGCTGTTCTCAGTTTGCCACCGTTCCTTAGCAGACCTTTAAAGTTAATTGTACTATCGTCTGGTGAGCCACCTAGAACTCGTGGGCCCCTGTGCATTGCACAGCCTGCACACCCTATATGACTGCCACTGCTGTGCACCTTTGTAAACCCAGCAGTCTCAACTTCTTCCCCAAAACAACCTTAGAAAAAAAAATAGTATCCTCTGATTAATTAGAGGATACTTCTGATAGAGTAAAAGAAGGGAAATAAAGCTGCTGAAACTAGGAAAGAATGTAAGAATTTATTACCCTACACAAAGCATTTTACCAAAAGGATTTTTATGATTACATCAACTTCAAAAATTGCATCTTAAGGATAATATATTGAGCTTTCAACTGATAAAAATGGGAACCTTAACACGTCTGAAATACTGAACAAGTGTTCACTTATTTTTTAAGTATTGGATAAAGAAAAGATTATTCGTATGTTAAATTTCCCTTAGGTAGTTTTTGCAAAATCAGTTAAAAGTAAATATTTTTATTAAATGCCAACTATCAAGGTGCTTTTTTCTGAGTAATATAACTGACATAAATTCCTAAACTTTAGTAGAAACATCAAGCCTCTAAGTAGTTAGTTTTTTCATAAATGTTTTTTTTCTATACAGAAATTACATAAGCAATTTAAAATTATAATAAATCTTCCCAGTGCCACTAATGTCTAAAGGGAAACTTTTAAGCCTCAACATATCTTCTCTTTTTTTCAGTCTCTTCTGTATTTTAAGATAAATATTATTAGGATCAGGAGATTTTTTCTCAAAAGTTTTCCAAGCTCTTGCAAAACAATTTTCTACAAAGTAACAATTTAATTAAGTAAAAGCTTTTCCATTTCTTAAATATTTGATTTGATATTTTTTATTTTCTGTCATAAAATACAATAAAAAAGTAGTAGAATGTTTAAACAAACATTAGTAATGGTCTTTAAAGGTTTGACAACTAGTCTATTTCATTAATTTTCATTTGGGCTTATTTAACCTTTAAGTACTCATGTGAGGTCCATGTGGACCTATGCCAAATAATAGCTTACTTTCTACTGTATTAAGTCTGCAAATTAATTTTTGTACTCTAATGATTATATGGAAAGAATGACAAATTAAATGTTTTTTCAAGATATTACATTTTTCCTCCCTCTTTCAAGTATTTGTAATGGCTTGAGCTATTGTGGGTTCCACAAGGATCCCACATGAGTCTTTATGGATTAAGCATTAAAAAAAATAATCTGTTTTGTAAAATTAAATTAACACAGGCTGAAGTTGTTACAGATATAATGAAAACTATATTTGTTTCTAAAGGAAAAAAATAAGTTATATTTATTGATTCCTTTTCTGTATTAATTAGGGTATAATCACTGAAATGAAAAATGCTATAAAAGTGTATAAATTTAGTCATATAAATTAATATTTTATGAGAGGGATTGTTTGTTTGTTTTTGAATTTTGCGCAAAGCTACACGAGGGCTATCTGCGCTAGCCATCCCTAATTTAGCAGTGTAAGACTAGAGGGAAGGCAGCTAGTCATCACCACCCACCGCAAACTTTTGGGCTTCTCTTTTACCAACGAATAGTGGGATTGACCGTCACATTATAACGCCCCAACAGCTGAAAGGGCGAGCATGTTTGGTGTGATGGGATTTTATGAGAGAATAGCATTGAATTAAGAAAATATTAACAAACTAATTGTTCTGAAAATAATAAAACATTACTAAATTACCATCCAAAATATAGTAATTCTATTCATGATTATTTGCTTGTTTGTGTTTAGATATTTATGCAAAGTTAATGAGAGGCTATCTGCACTAGCCATTCCTAGTTTTGAACTAATAGACTAGAGGGAAGGCAGCTAGTCAACACACCCACAGCCCACTCTCAGGCTACTCTTATCTGACTACGTAGTACGATTTAATGTTGCCCTTAATGCATCACCATGACTCCAAAGTGTGGATTGTGTATTTATTTTCAGTAATTGGATGTGAATGATGGACCTGCAGATCCATATGCCAGTTTACTAACCACTGAGCCATGCTTGGCTCTTCTGATTATGAGCTAGGATGTTATTTGGTTAATTCTATGCATTTGTACTAAATCACAGAGGCAGCTGAGTTAAGGAAATAATATTAAAACAAAAGTTAAATGTATTTTATCAAATGTGGTTAGGTGATAGAAATTTGATTTATTTTCAACTGATAGTTTTTGTCATGCACAAAAGTATAAATATAGAAAAGTGTGAGTTGATTGTCTAGGTTTTAAGCCTTTTTCTGCATAAATATTTCATTGTTTGTTTCCTAAATGGAATAAATATCACATCTTTAAGTTGGTTGAATTTAAAGAGGATTTTACTTAATTTGTTGTGACTTGACTTGCAGGTTTTTAACACATTGGTTGCCATGTGCCCCATTGGTGGGTTACAACCGACTTTTAGTTATGGACCACGTGACACACTGTTGGGTCACACACAGTTATGTTTCAAAGCCAAATTTCTCTTGTGACATATGAGTTTGGGCCACTGTGACTGCTCCTTGGTACCTTTTGAATGTTTAACTTTATTTTTAATTAATTTATTATATGTTAAAGGAAGCCCACTTAAATAAGTACATTTCAGACTTGGCCCTAATTTACACGTATGCATACTGTATTTTAAATGAAATTATAAAACAAATTATGTGAGCAAAAGGCTGTTAACAATAGATTTTAATGTATCAAATGATGAGGAAATACCTAATTATAGGCTAATTTCACCTTCAGAATAAACTTACAAATTTTAAATTTGTATTGCACTATTGAAACAAAATCAAATTAAAACCTTGAAATTACTCAAATAAAAAAATATTACTATTTGAGTAATATGTTAAAATGCTTTATTGTAGTGTGACCCATCTGTTAATTTGATTGATGCACGGGAGCTTACAGAAACTCAACAGAAAGCTTCAAAACTCCTAAGACAGCCTGAAGGGATCACAGGTTCAAGAAAACTTGGAAAGGGCAGTGTTAGTTTTTGGAGAAATTGTGCTTATGAGAAAGAGGTGAGTTACCAAAAGTATTCCTGACAGCTATACTTATAAAACCTCTGATATTATGTTTCCTGAATCTTGAATTTTATGTTGAAAGCAAGAATTATTAACTTATCAGAAAAGGAATTAGTGATGGAAGTTCAATAAATACATTGTTAAATTAACTCCATAGTTTATTTTTGTTAAGATTTAGTCATGTTAATTATCTTTCAGTTTACATAGTGAAGTATTTATGAACTACAAAGTATGTGCCATTCCACTGTGTGTGTGTGTGTGTATATATATATATTTGCTACAATAAAAGAATCTTATATTTTCATTGATTTTAATTTAGAACTTGTACATACATATAAAAATATTACTGCAGAAGATTACCATGTGTTGGACAGTTATTCATGTAAAACAGTTTTACGAAATAGTATGTTGGTCAGTTTTGTCACTTAGTTAGGTAGACTTTGTAATGGGATTTACAAAACTTGTAGGAAATTAAAGGTATTATTCTGTGACATAGTTCACAAGCTTAGTAGTTGTCTATCTTATTCTGTCACATGAAAATTCTATAACAGCAACTTTCTACAGTACAGGTACAACAGGTACATGCAGGAAGCTGTTAAGGAGAATTTCACAGCCTTAATACACGAGTGCACTAAATGTCTGGGAACTACATAGCTATTTAAATATTTTTCTTTGTTATTGTAGAAGTATGTATAAAATACTCAAACATATGTGTAAAAATGGTTTATTGTCTTAAAAAAATAGTTTTTACTTCTTTTTTATATTGAGATTTTTATGTAACTTAAGAGGATGTAATGTTTGGTTAGTAAAGATACGTGTAGTGATTTTGTGTAATTTTTATTTTAGTTAGTGATAATTCCAGTTTTTGTGAATGATAAAAATTCTTAACTTGACACATCGCCATCAGTGAGTCACTTTAATGCCCTTTCATTATGGAGCTCCTATGTTTATAAAGTACTTATGCCTGTTCTGATAAGTGTTATATACAAGTAAATATTTTTAGTCACAGGATGTCTGGTTAATGATATGGGACAGGTCTGTGGGAATCTATTTAAAGTGGCTGTTCAGAAATAAAATGCTCTTGTACATGTTTAAGCTGATGCACAGAAGTTTCTGAAGTGTTGATGTAAGCAAATAAAGCTAGAGGTTCAATTGCATAGATAACGTTAATATTTTCTTGTTATACATCAGTTGAATCAGCATCAGATTACAAAGTTTAAAGTACAGTGTACCGTACTGGTTGTGTTCTTGTATGCAACAACAATTTATTTTAGTAAAAGTAAAACTAGTAGTTGATTATATTTGTTCTTTACACCTTCAATGAATTAATAATTTTTTAACATATATTTGTACTTTTATATATATATATATATATATATATATATATATAT